ATTTAATTGTCTTAATTTGGAACTGAATGCCATCAAAACCTTGTAGTTTAAGCTAAGCCACCTAGTCTCTTTGTTTGGTCAGGAGAAAGACACAGACATTTTCTGAGGGCAATTCACTCTACCTACTTAAAACATCTAATTTAAACCATGAAATGAGAGCGTGATACAGCCAAAATCTGTGCACGCTCTGCCAGAGTCTGTAGAAGTCTATATAGTTAAAAACAAAACCTGTGATTGTTGTGTAGTTACTGTTATCAATTACAGGGCAAGATAGAATGTCTCTTAATTAACTTAATAACCTGATAGGTACATTTAGACATAGCTAATTAGAGCTTTCTTGTAATTGGGCCTATGATTAATAGACTGTGAAGACTGTTTCATTTGTATTAAATGCATGGACAGTCACAAGGAAATTAAAATTTGAGCCTGCATTGAATAACTAATGGCACAATAGTGAAAGATTATTCTCTTTATAAAGAATTAATATATTAAGTCGCTAGTTTAGACCTGTTTTTTTCAAGTTCTTTTGCAGCCTTATCAATATGTGCATGAATCTCTCTCTTGGAAATATCCACAGATCAACTTTTGCAAGTTTCTTTTAAAACGGTCTATCTTACATAGTTTAATAAAACTAGTGAATGTAAAAGCATGTGAAGATACCATTACAGAAGAAAGTAGAAATAACTGGTTTCATTTCTGGTTTGCACAGCGCAAGGTGAAATCCTTGGAGAAGTTAACTGCCAGTTTTTCTGGAGCTTATATTACCTTTCTGCCTGTTCTTTCTCATTCTGGTCAGGGCAGAACCTAATTTGGGGCAATACAGTGGGGAAGCAACAGAAATGAATGTATTCACCCTCGTGCTCTGGTCTGTAGTAGTCATGGAAGTTTCCTTTCACTCCTTTTCTGTGCTGCAGTGTCTCTTGTGGGTGCACAGGGAATTAATAGCTACTGACATCTGAACAGGCTTCTTCACTTGTTACGCAGCTGGAAGGGAGGGACTGAGGGGAGTCCCACTGATAGAAAAGACAAAAGGACATAGCGTGAAAGGAAGACATAGCGGTGGAAAGAAGATAGGAGGAGAGGGATTATGTATAGTGAACAGTTCATCTGGCAGCATGGAGACCCAATCCTCCATGACTTTTATTTGTTGTTATAAGGCATGCTGTGCACAGAATAATGTTATAAAGGTAGACAAAATTTTTTATTTTTCTTATTTGAAGTAGGTGAAATTGGGAACAAGTAGAAAACGTAGAAATTAGAGCTAGAAAGGTGAAAAGTATAATTAATAAATTTAAGAGACATAAATGCCTTGCATTTCTGTTTTCATGCATAGTTGAAACTTATCTGTGGAATTTTTCATCAAGAAATGAATCTCAGTTTCAATGTTCTTGTGCCATTTTTATCCTGCTGTTAATGCAGAGGCGGCTTCATTGAGACTAGTTGGTCTTTTTCCTTTTCTTTTTCTTGTGAAACCTTGCCTACTTAGCACATCGTGAGTCAGATCAGACTGCTGCTAACCAAAAAAGAATTTTATTTTTGTAACTTGTTGTACATTTTAGTTTTTCTTATTTAATACTTTCACTTTTGTCATCTTTTTTTGAACGACTTCAAAATTGTATATTTAGAGTAGCACGTAGTATGTTATTCCTGTTGTCTGGTCATCTGAGCAACAGATGAGAGCATCAAATAAACTTTGGATAGTTTCATCAGAAGTTTAAGATAGTTTGTCTTTTACTAGGCAATGGTGCTAAGATGAGAATGCCCCTAACAGGCATTCGTAATCTATAATGTCTTTTCACCTTCAGTGAAATACGTGTTTTTACTTAAAAAGTGACCTGAGTGCTCGCTAAGTACAGTTATTGCCTGTGTGAAGTTTTTTGCCTTTTTTGTTGAGGATTTTTTTTTGTTTGGTTGGTTTGTGCTGTTTCTCTTCCCCCTCTCACCCCTCTACACCATGGCATAGCCAAGCAACCAAACACGGGCAGATAACACATTTCCTTGTAATTGCCAATTTGCTGGGGATGACAAGAGTCTCAAAGGAAGCATGAGCTTGAAGAGCACGGGCTGGGGACTGAACGGATGGAGTTAGGTCCCTTGATGGACTGGGTGGCAGAATTTGGTAGGAGGGCGAGGGCAGCGAGGATCATGGAGTTGTGATCCTACTTCTGGGATCTCTGACAGTGTGTGTGGCAGGAGGATATGGAAGGAGATAACACCTCCTGCATGTGAATGTGGATTTACACAGAGCATATGTCTGAAGCTATTATCATGGCTATTGTTATCACCGGTTGAGGTGGAGGTGTTCTTAGCAAATTCTGCAGAGTTCAGGAACCCTGCTGTAGTAAGTTGGAGACCACTTTCACACCTTGCTTTAGAAGCAAATCCCTACGAGCTTCTTCACTCCCCTTTTGCAACGGAGTACTCACAGTAAAGAGCTATGTCTTCCTTAAATGGCAGGGCTCATAATCTGAATCACCTTTGCATTGACTTAAAGTTGTATTTACTTTTAATGACAACTCTGCAAGTGGTTGAGGCAAATCAGTTTGAGGCTTATTACACAAATAAGTAGTGTTTTTTGGAACTGCATACTATTTTCAGTTTATGAGGATTCCAGCAATGTTATTTCTTTTTTGCTTTAGGTGTACAGGATTGGTACAACTCATTTGTTATTCCAGATATATAAAAGTAGCTTCTATCTATAGTTCTTTTAACTTTTCTAATTACTGTGGCAGAATAGAACTGATTATGCTCTGGGACAGCACAGATCTCTATATCAGTCAGGCCTTATTATTAACATGTTAACAGTAGATAAAAATGTGGTCCTTTTGAATAGGAGCTAATTTCACATCACCTCAGAATAGCACTTTTTTTTTTTTGTACTTTGTGCAATTATGTTCTTCAGTTTTATTGCTATGTCTCAGAATAAGGTAAAGAATCCTATAATCAGTTTTATTTTATTAGGTCTGTTTCTGTTAATTAAAGACCATTTCTTCCTGTGACAAGCAAGTCAGTGATGGCAACAATCAAGTAGCATGTCTTACATTGACACGTAGGCATTTTAAAATTTTTCATCTCTGTATTATCTTTTTTAATGCTACATTAATTTTGTAATTTATTATTAATAAATTGTCACCCATGCATGTCTTAAAAAAATTAATAGTATCAGTGTGTGTATCTCAGTTCTCATCATCTTGTTTTTATTAATCTAAGACAGAAAAATCATTTTCAAACCATGATTCAGAGAAATGGTTTAAATTACAAGTCAGCTATTACAGATCGACACTTTTCCTTTGGTAATAGAATCCTCTGCAGTGGAATTCCTACTGCTATTGTGGTCCATTACAAGCACAAGATTACATCTTTCCACTTGTCACTAATTCTGCATTTTGGCAGGGAAAAAAAGAAAGGTTTGCTGTTAGAGTGTTGCCAAGCAACCAAAATATGAATTACTCCAATTTCTGGATTTTTCTTGTATGATGTATATCAGAGGGTTTCTCCTACATTGGTGAGAGACAGTCTAGATGAAGTTACACTCCATAGCTTTACTATTTCTAAGATTAGTTAAGTAGCTTAATTTTTCCCTGTGGAGTTCCATTTCAAAACCAAAGACACTTTTTTTTTTTGGTTCCCTGTAGATAATTATCAAAAATCATGTCACAGATGATCATGTCTTCACAAGACATGAGATTGGGCATGTTTTCTCCTTCTTGTTTTCTGAAATTAGATTTCTCTTTCTGAAATGGAAAGCTTGTTTCTGTCTCATTTTCACTTGTACCTCATTGTTTATACCACTACTAGAATAAAAAGAATGGAAAGTCTTGGAGTGGACAAAGATAACTTGCTGCGTCTTAAAAATCCTGCATGTGTTACTCATGTTTACTGTTATTTAGTATACTCCCTCTTAAGTATCTTCTTCCAATACAACTGATCGTAGTATCAAGTAACTACTGGTATTTAAAAAATTATTCATTAAATGAACATGTGTGGAAAAGATGAAGTGAAGATTGACTTAAGTGTGTGGAAGTTATGGTAAGGTTTATGCTTGGGGATAGATGAAGAGACAATAAATGCTCTTAATAACTTAAGCCAGTTTTTTGTCCTGATTTTGTTGTACATTCCTGTAATTTTTTACTTCAATGGAGCTTTTTCGTTTTGCCGTGACAGCCACAGATTTCCTGTGGAACTATGGATTTCAGGGTGACCTCCCACGTTAGCCATTGATTTCCTCTCAGGGCACATGCTCAGCACAGAGCCACAGCTTCTTTCTGGATTCCTAAGCTGTGTTTTATGTGTAGGGAGCCAGGAAGAACCTCAGCAGCAATATGGAGAGTGCTTCTCTTTCTGCAGTCCTGCAAGGCCAGGGTGTATAACAGCAACTAGATAGTATCAATGCATGGCATAGGAGATGGTTTCCTGTTGACATTGGGTTTGTATCCATGTCTGCAACAGTGTAATAAAATATTTGCTTATGTCTATACAATAATATTTTGGAGGACTTGCTTTAAAAAATGTCTGCCTGTTTGATCAGACCTTGGAGTTCCCAGATATGACTGCATATTCTAACCAGATTGTTGTTCCATTTCTGGGTGAGATAAAAAATGCACCAACCTTCCTGATAAACCAATTTCCAATGAGAAGAAACTTGGATGTATGGGTCAGAGAAGAGCTACTTGCTGCTCTGAAAAATTCTGCATTCAGAACTCTTGTTCTGAATGGTTAAATGAACAGTATTCAGATTGCTCTGGGTAAATTTGAGCAGGTAGCGGGGTTTGGGTTGTTTAACATGAATTCCAGTGGATAACTGACTGTATAGGCTAAGAGCACTTCAACTTCACAGGGCGAAGCTAGTAGTAGTTTGAGGAGATGGGTGTTTCCAGCTGTTTTCTTCAAAGTTGAAAACAGGCTTTTCCTTTCTAAATGCTCCTTTACTTTTGGTAAATACAAGATTAGTTTAGGTGCAATATCCCACTAATTTTTTGTTTTGTTTTAATTTTCTAAAGGAGTTGATGACCAAGCTGATAACAGAGACACCTGACCAGCCAATCCCTTTTCTAATTGATCATCTTCAGTCCAAACAGGGGAACCGCAGTCAGCTTCAGAGAACGTTGTCTGGCTCTGCTGCCCTTTGGGCAGAGAGTGAAACATCAGGTATGTTCTGTATGCTGGAAAGGGCTAGTCTCCAGTATAATCTTCCCACACTTTCATCCATGATTTCCTGGATGCATGTGTATTACAGGTACTACTCTGTGGTTTTGAGCATGCACAATAAGTCCTGTTTGTCCAGTAGATACTGAATTTAATATATATTGTTGGCTATCAGCTCAGCCTATGTACATATCATGTGAGTATGGGTCAGAGTTACAGGGTGGAAGCAATCCCAGTCTCAATGAGAAAGAAGGTGCATATAAAGGTCCCTTGATTCCCCTGCTGTCCTCCTTGCTTTCCCCTTTCTCCTCGCTTTCCCCTTTCTCTTTGCTTTGTTTTCCTTTTCCCTCCTGTGGTGTATTTGTGCCTGAGATTAGCCTCTATTGAGGTATTTTCTTTAATAATACACGTTTTTAACAACCCATTTTCCAACACTTAATGAGAAGATGCTATTAGTACTTTATGAGCTCCAGTGTAAATAATTTATAATTGTAGATCTTCAGAAGCATAAACAAATTTCTGAAATAATATCTGCTCTGATTCTAAAGTAGAAATTTTAGCTTTGATATTCTGGTACAAGCAACTATTATAATGTTGGTTTTGTATTTAAAAATTGACTGATGATCTGTTTCAGACTATAATAGATCTCAAGTAGTTGCTGATAGTCAAAATGTTAGTTGCCTGACAAATCAGCTTTTTATTTATATCAAATGTAAAGTTTTAAGCATAGGCAGTCAAACATGTAAGAGAATAAATGCAGGTTAAGGACTTTTTCATAACAAAAAATAAGATCTTATGTTTTTAATGAAAAACATATTAATGAATTTCTGAATTTTGATGTTTAGGAAATGGAAGACATATGAAATTTAGCATGAATCAGAAACAGAAGAACAAAAAGAGCTGAATTTAGTTTGGACTGATAGGTCTTGTTTTTTCTGGATTGTTTATTAAGTCTTTGAAAAATGACCCTACAAATGTTATAATTGCCTGATTCAATTCTTTTAACAGAAAATAAAGGAACAAGGAGAGATTTTAGAAGTTATGATAAACCTTGGCAGGTAAATGCAAAAAAGCCTAAAAAGTCAAAGAGCGACCTTGCCGTGTCCAACATTTCTCCACCGTCACCGGAGTCCAAGTCATGTAAGAAAGCTTCACTACATTACTAATTCGTGCATACTTCCAAACCCATAGTATGTTTTTCTGTTGAATTAGGATTAAAATGGAAAGCCAATTATGAGCAGTTGAAATGGCTCGATATATGTGTTAGAAGAGTTTGATTCTTGCTTTACTTTCACTTGAATTATGAATATTTAACAATACCCTATGTTGTCACCTATAGATAGAATAGAATTCTAGGTAGATAGATAAAAAAACAGAAGAATATCTGGGTGTCATGCACAATTTTATGTTCAGATACCGATTATGATTTGATGTTTTAGTTTGCATTGCTATTTTGCATGTGTAAAATCTGTTCTGTTGATATTGGTCCTAAAACCAGATATTTTTCAGTGGATCGGGCAATGCAAAACTATGAATTATGAACAGATACTGTTTAAGATATGGGGACAGTGTCAGCAGAACAGGTGTACTGCTCTGAGAGTTGCTGAAGGAATCTAAAGATACACTGAAAGAAAAGGCAGAATAGAAATAGAGTGACTGAAGAGAATATTGTCAATGACCTGTAAAATAGAAGTAGTAAAAATAGAGGCAGCAAGCCTTAACGAAATATAGTGCTTCCTGTGTACTGGCTATTGAAGAAATTTAATTTTTAAGTTTGATTTTTAATGGATTTTTTACACAAATAAATATATCTACAATATACATACATATATATGTATAGGTACACATACACACACAAGTGTGTATACAAGATTTGTTCTCCAAAATAAATTGCAAAATTATATTTTCTTCTGTTGACTATTGTAGCTTTTTGAGTTCTTTATAACAGCGAAATCTTTTTAATAACTCGGAGTGTGATTAGGCAACCAGATGAGAACAGAGATATATAGTATGATGCAATAGAAGGCTTGCTGTCTTTCCTCTAAAAGCAAGGTGACGAAGTCTAGACTTTAGTGGAGTCAAAGAAAAATCTCCCAATGGCCTCAGTAGGTCAAAATATAACACAGCAATGGTTAAAGTAAATCATGATAGATTTATGCAATAGAGATACTGTGCTTTTGGGTAATTAACAGTCTTGTATGGTTATGAAACCTTATCGATTGGGAATAAATAACTAACAAGTAAAAAATAGCTGTACAGGTAGCTATGTCCCATAGCACTGCTTTTCTCAGGACTGTACTGTCCTAGCAAGATTTATGGATTACTTTTTCTGGAAATGGAGCATGTGTCTCTCTTTCTTCTTCATGAAGCACATTACCTGTTTCAAAAAGACTCAAATTTGATCATCAGTTCCACTGTACCTCTCTACAGGCACATGAATTTTTAAGTCAGTCCAAAAGTAGCATGTGGATTTTAATTCACTTTCCAGAGTAAATAGGGATATTCAGAGAGGTGGTCATAGCCACTCATAATCTAGTCTAATCTAACAGTCTTTGCTGGATAACAGCAATTTATGGGGATACACTGTTAGAAACAGTGGCCAAGGGTGTTGTGAGCTGTTCCTGTCATCATACTGTGTTCTTCTCCTCCCTCCCAGCGCTTGCACTTCAGACTCTGTGATATGCATTGAGTAACTTACATGCCATCTCCTAAAGATCTCAAGTTCTCAGTCTTTATCCCAGGTAGGGGTGTGACATCATGTCACTCCCTTCATTTGTATGCCTACTACAAGTTTCATGCTTGTTGGTCCTTAGGTTGTCCCAGGAGAGGGACAAAGAGGAGGCTGGGCACTCTAAACTACCAGGTCACATGTCAAGCAAGGAAATAATTTATACATCCATAATAAGACTGGACTCAAGGATCTGTCCTTGTGGACTGAAGGGCATCTAATAATGCTCTTCAATTGGTAAGGCTTGCTCTGAAGCTACCCAAGTCCCTAAGTCTAGCAGCGGAGTTTGTGAGAGTGCGGCTTTACCCACAACAGAGGAAGATAGAATTAGGGTGTGCTTAAGGCAATTGGACATACGTAAATACATGGCACTATACGGGATTCATTCTGAGCATGCTGAGAGGGAGGCTAATGTCATTCATTGCAAGGTCATCACTGAAAGGTCATGATGCCCTGATGACTAGAAAAAGGCAAACATCACAGTCATTTTGAGGAAGGGCAAGAAAAGGAGACTTTGGGGACTACAATCTGATCAGCCTCACCTTGCTTTCTGGGAAGGTTATTGAGCAAATTTTCCTGGAAGGTGTTCCCAGCCACAAGAAGGAGGAAAATGTGATTGGGAACAGTAAGCGTGGATTTATGAGATCATACATACCTGGTCAGATCAACCTGATTGCCCCCTTAGATGAAATAACTGGCCCTGTAATCAAAGAAAGAGCAGTAGATGTTTAATACCTTGACTTCAGCAAAACCTTTGACAGTCTCCCATAGTATCCTTATAACTCAATTGGTGAGATACGGACTGGATAAGTGGACAACAAGATGTGTGGGAAGTTGGCTCAACTGTTGGGTTCCAGGGGTTGTGACTGGCAATGCAAAGTCCAGTTGGAAACCTGTCACTAGTGGCATGCTTAAGGGACTGGTACTGAGACCAATACCATTTAAAAGTCTTTCTTAATGTCCTGGATGATGAGGTAGAATGTTCTCTTAGCAGGTTTGCAGGTGAGACCAAATTGTGGGAAGTGGTTGGTATTCTGGGTAGCAGGGCTGCTATTCAGAGGGACCTCAGCAGGATTGAGGAATGGGCTGAGAAGTTCAACACAGGCAAATGCAAAATCCTGCATCTTGGATGGTATAACCCTGAGTAATAGTATAAACTAGAGTCTGAATGGCTAGAAGGTAGATTTGCAGAAAATGACCTGGGGTGCTGATGGACAAGAACTTGAATATGAACCAGCTGTGGCTGTGTGCTCTTGCAGTGCTGAAGGTGAGCTGCATACTAGGCTGCATTAGCAAGAGTATAGCCAGCAGTGTTTATTTCACACTATTGAGATGGCATCTGGACTACATCATGATAGACAATGGTGTACTGGAGCCAGTCCAGTGGAGGTCCACCAAGATGATGAGAGGGCTAGAGCATGCGATGGACAAGGAAAAGCTGAAGGAAATTGGTTTGTTCATCCTTAAGAAATGAAAGCTAAGGGGAGATTTCGTTGTCACCATCAACTATTACAGTGGAGGGTAGTAGCAAAGATAGCCAGATTCTTCTTGAAGGTGTGTAGTGAAAGGACAAGAGGCAACAAAAATTATACTGTGAGGGTGGTCAAACACTGGAACAGGTTGTCCAGAGCGGCTGTGGAATCTCCATTCTGGGAGATACTCAAAACTCAACTGGATAGTCTGAGCAACCTGCCCTCAATGGACCAGTTTTGAGCAGCAGGTTGGACTGGAAGACTTCCAGAGGTCCCTTCCAGCCTAATTATCCTCTGATTCCATGCTTTTCTGTTTGAGCCGTTTCCTATTTTTTTTGTCCATACCACTGTTTTAAACCTTGATTCCTCCTATTATTTTTGTGATTTACCCCTGCAAATATTTGTCTCTGAAACTTTTTGAAAATACCTTGTGTGTTTGAATTATGTTTTTTTTTTTAATTGCGATCACAGAGGCTAGTTTCAGCCATATGCCTTTTTGCCATATCTTCCTTCTCTTATTTTCTGCCAACCACCAAATTAATACTGATGGTTTTTTGACCTTTTTTTGCTGGGTTTATGCCAAAATCAGTGGGTACTGTATGCCCCTTCAACCACTCAGATCAGCAAAACGCAAGCATGTTCAGAAGCCGTTTATTACTCTGTCCAGACGTGTACAGCATATTCCATTTGTTTTGTGCCTTCAGCTTGCACCTCAAAACATTTTTGGGTGTCATTGTACATTTTTTTCCAAAGAGGTAGTAAGGACTCATCTGAGAAACAGAATGTTTTGGACCTGCTGAGACCTAAAGATTTACTCTCAGATTTGTGTTTAAAACAAACAAAGCCCCCACACCCAACAACCTAAAAAGCCCCCCAAAACTGCCAAAACAAACGCAAAATTTAATGTAGTCCATCAGCTGTAATATGGTCTGTTGCAGAGCTTTTGTCTTACGACTATCTTGTTCAAATGATCCTGAACTTGTAAGTTTATTCAGAATTGGTTGAGAATTGTCATTTCATAGGAATCTTTGGAAACATCAGGAGAATTTATTTATTTAATTATGAAATATTTTTTTCCTTCAGCAGAGCTGATGTTGACTGCAGTGTGCATGTTATTCCTGCGCAGATATCTCTTCCTTATGCATTCGACTTTTTACTGGAAAGATTCCTCCAGTCCCTCCTCCTGCCTGTTATGATCTCAGTCACACCTGAAACAAACACAAACAAGAAACCCTGGTATCTAAGGGATCTGACCGCTTCTTTGGTGTGTGCAAAAACATAATTAAGCAGAAGCTGCTGCTGTTGTCTGGCAAGAAAGAGGCTTGAAGCTAGGACTCCTAGTGTGTGTGTGTGTTTGTGTATATATAAATATATTTAATGAAATATTTAGATGATTCTGAAAGTTTCTAAATAGTTTGTGAAACAGACTTCTTGCTTCCCAGCTAGCTACTTTTAGGCAGAGTAGGTTGATCTCTTCTCACCACCTCTGTATTAAATCAGTTCACGGATCATCCTTTCACTCTGCTTCAGTTCACCATTCTCACCATATCCCATTTACGATTACAATGTTGTGTACTTCTGATTGCCTTTCATCAATCTAGGACTGTAGGCCATCGTTCTCTTAGCCTTTTAATATCCAGGTACTGTGTAAACCAGTTTGGCTGTATTATCAAAGAACTCTAATTTTAATGCTATTGCGAGATTGAAATACATGAGTAATTTTATGCTTAATAATAACAACACATATTTTTGTTCTTTGAGATGTAAGATGGTCATACAATGTATTAATGAAATGTAGGATTTAATGAGCAACTGGTCTAATTCTGGCTGCAAATCAGGTCTTGAAAAGACATGTATATGTAGATAAAAACAGTACTGATCTTGTACCATCATCCAGTAGAAAATAAAGGTCTGCTGATTTGTGACAGAATTCCTAACACATCTGCAAATGAACCTGATGTGCATTTGTTGGGGGTGTGCTTCACCAGGAAATCAGAAATACTGGGAAACACGTCTTTGCAGTCTTCTGAGATGAGATGGGGAAATCTCAGCTCCATAAAGGGAAAACCTAAATATTTCTATACAAATGCTATGATATAGTTGTAATAAATCTTCTGAATTGTAGGCAAATAACTTAAAGAGAAAGTGTTTTATAAATCTCTCAAATAACAGAGTTGAGGTTGAGGCAGGTAATGTGATGAGGGATTTAAAATTACTGATATGATGATTTTGAGGAATGAGTGAGTATAATAAAGAGGAAGGTCAGAATATTATGAAAGCATTTTACTAAGTGTGTACTGACATATGCAAGGCAATGTTATATGATGGACTTCATACATACAGAAGAAGATCATGTATTTAAAAAGATCTCAAGGAAGGGTCATATGGTCTTTATGCAGTTCTGCATGCTTCACACAAAGGCATCCATTTGAAAATGACCAGTGCTTGTTGATCCCATAGTTAGGAAGATACAAGTTTATATTTTAAAAACATTTGTAAGCAAGCAGAAAATTAACCTTGAAAGGAGAGACACATGCCACATGATGTAATGAAGTAGATTTTAGTTTCAGTATCCATTCATTAGTTGGAAGAGTAGGTAAGTAAAAAGAACCATGTCTTCTCTAGAAGTAATAAAAATTTCAGTCAGTTCTAATTCTGCTTAACTTTCCCCCTCAGTTTTGGTTCAATAGAATGAGCCAAATTCATTGTTGAAACAAATTCTATTGAAACTCAGAAGTGTTCCATGACAGCCTATCTGTTTTGATACATTTTCATTGAAGTACAAAATGGTTCACTGAAACACAGACTGTAGTACACCAGCATGCAGAGCAAATTTCCACCATGTTTTTGACTGGTTTCCCACCATCCATCTAGTGAGATGCAATCCGAGCTTCCTGTATTTGTGGGACATTTCTCTGAAACTAGGGACCAGACCATTGTCTCTTGAGCAAGTTTCCCTGCTTTCCAAGGATAGAGTCTTGATACTCTCATTTTCCTGATGCAGGTTGGTCCATATACTTGGCAGTTGCTGATCCTGGAAACTCCACAGCTGTTGAGCAGAACTTATGTTTGTTTCATTCAGCTTCTGTCCCATGACAAATTTTTTTTTTCAAAATTGTATGGTTTCTCAAAAATTCTGTCCTTTGGTATTTTGAAAAATGTGGTTTGTTTCAAATTGACATGATAACAAATTCCAGCTTGTTGAAACTTTCTGCAACCTGGAAGCTCTAAGGTTTGGTCATCTTTGTACATGGTTTTACTATATTAAATTATTGCCTGTTTGTATTTTGGTGGTACTGTGAGATTTCTGTGGTGTGGTGAGTTCAGTAACAACATAGAAAGAAAAGTCTGTCCAACTGCTAGTAGGCTAGAGTGAGTGATGCTGTAGAATATAGCGTTGGTACACTGAAGGGAGAAGATGAGATGGCTGAAAAAGCAGGCAGTAAAGGAACATGTGATCTCAATATCAAACAAAGGTGAGCGAAAATAGAGAGACCTCATTATAGAATTTCTTTTCTAGTTCACTAAATATTTATATTTACAGTTAGTAAAAGTTTAGAAAAAATACTAGATGGAACATTTTGTTTTCTGTAAATAAGAAGGATGAGAAATACTGAAGTTGTGCTATTTGAATTAATTATGCTAGGGTCTATGAATGGAGGCAATTTTTGGTCACACAAAAATTGAGATAACTTCTAATGAACATAGTGGTTCCTAAACCAGGGAATTATAAATTAAATGATTGGCATTTAAAAGTATCAAGAAAAATTATAAGCTGTCCATCTGAGTAGAGGCTAGTCGTACCCTAATACCTTAAGGCCTGTACCTATTCACTGGGAACCACCATAGCTCATTATTTCCATTGTCCTCAGAAGCAAATACATGACTTGTCTTTTTTGAACACAAAGCAGAGCAGGACTCTGACACTCCAACTTGCCCCTCTCTTCCCTTCTTATTGAGGCCTCCTGTGTCTCTTTCCTCCTACTCTTATCTCTGTAGGTCCTTTTTAATGTCCCCTTTGTCTTCTGTCTTTGAGAATGTCTGTAATTGCAGTCTAATGTATTAACTTCTCTAATACTTACGCAGGTTCCTGAGTGGGTGTTACAGATCAGAATATACTCTGGGTTGTCAGACTCTGTATAGATGTCCGGTTTGAAGATGGCTTGGTTTCTGTCTACGGGAGATGGAATCGTTCTTTGTGACGGAAGGACTTAAACATACCGTTGTCCCATTTCTTTACCTGGAAAAGACGGCTATTGACTTAACTTAAACTTTCCCTTGTGGAGCTGATCCAAAGGGGAGCAGATTCTATATTCACACAGAGGGCAGTCAGCAATAAGGCAAATTTCCGTAGCAACAGTTATTTAGCACATTTTGTAATAGCTACCAGAACTCGAAGTCTAAGCATAATTTCCCCATACCATCATAAAAGCACTCTGAAATTCCAAATGATCATAAGATACCACTTTTTTTGCGTGATCTGTAGGAGTCTGCAAGTTTCCTTCTTAGCATGTAATGACAATGAAGTTTGTAAGCATAAATTAGTTGACAGCTGTCAAAATAGTAAATAAAAATTTCAAAGCTGGCCAGGATATGTTGGACATTATAGGCTTTGTTTTTGAAGTTATTTTTAAATGAGTAGTTAGCAACCATTGATAAATGCAGCTGGTCCTTTCTGTTGGGAATGTGGACTAGGCATCATCACCTTCACACCAGCATGTGCAGTTCTCAGCACGGTAATGCTGTGTTTGGAGACAACCCAATAATTGCATTTGGTGGCGAAGGCAGCAGATCGCTTAGTTCAGAACACTGGCAAAAAGAACATGTTAAACTGCAGTTCCAGAGACAGCATAATTTTCGTTTTCATTTCTACAAATTGCTCAAAATGTTCACACTGGTCGATGCAGCTCTGTTTATTGTGGGTCCTACGTATGTCAGAAACTCCTTCTTTTCTTCCCTGCCATTGTAGGTAAAGTTAGATCAGCAGTCGAGAAACTGTTATTTTAAAATTAAATCAAAGGTTTTGGTAATAGATAACGAGTAGGAGACTGTAAGCTCAGGACTGTGCTTCCCAAAGATCGAGTTTGTTTAAGTATTGGCATAAAGATTATAGGCTGTACAGCATGAACAATAGAGACATATTTTGTTTCACTGTTTTTATGAACTGTGTTATCTACACTTGATGAGTTTTTTTTTTTTAAAAATTGCATATACATGTTTTAAAAGCTTTATCTAAAATATTTCTTTTTTCTTTTTGATAAAATGACTAGCAAAGCCAAAAGTACCAGTTACTCATTTTCATTTTGACATTTTTCCTTATTGGCCCCTAGGACACACAATTCTATTTTGATGTAAATGAAGTACCTTCACATGCAAGATTTTTATTACATTTTTCTGTTATTGTGTTATTTTTATTATTTTTAATTGTTACTATTAATTATTCCTGTTTACCAATGAATTCAGTCGCAAGAATCATCCCAAGTATGCATTTGTTCATAGATGTTTTAATTTTTACTTCACATTGACGAAAGAAAATATTTCCAGCTGTTAAAATAGGAGGATAGTTAAGTAATTTCCACTCAAGGTACTTGAGCTTGTAACCTCATTGTGCAGCTTTTTTTCTACTGTAGGAATCTGAACTGCCAAATCTAAACTTCATCTATATATCTGTGTATATTTAGTGCCAAGGTCAATAGAGCATCCTAAATGGGATTGGAGGACAAAACCGGAGAACCATGATTTTGATGAACTAAATCATATTCTTCAAGAGAGCAAAAAACTTGGAAAAGCCCTTGAGAATCTGTCTCGCAGTAAGTTGATTGATTTTAGTTTTTTAATGTAACCATGCAGCCTGAATTGTAATTTGGAAGTATATATCAAGAAGGTGGTCTTCTATTCAATGAAGACCAAGTTCATTGACATCAGCAGTTACATTCCTGTTGATGAGGTTTACAGAATGTCTGAGATAATTTAGCAGCTCTCCTGCTGACTGAAACTACTTCCCCTGCACCTCCTTTCTTGTTACATTAGTTTTCTGCCAGTTCAGTGAGCTGAATTAGCTCATAAAGAGATTGACACAAGAGGCTGGTTTGAGGAAAATGGTGGGAACATGCAGCAGTGGGACTGCTCCTTTGGGTGGTAGCAGTTAGATTGGATTAACCTTTGTGAAACCTTAACCTCATTGATGGAGATCAGACCTGTCATTGAAAAAACAATTAGGTATTTTGTATCCTTGACCCCAATTAATTCCTTCCAGTTTTCAAAAGCAATTCAAATAAATATTTTAACACGTCTCAAATAAATACTCAAAAACATGGTAGCCAATTATTTCATAACAAACCCCAAGTATTATCCCCTAAAAGACATAGTCAAACAGGAGCAGTGTTTAAAAATAGCATGCTCATGTAAGGAGTAACTCTGAGAATTACTGGATATGATGAGGAATAGTTTTTTTTGTTTTTCTTTTTTTTTTTCCTTCTTTTCTGTAGAAAAGAATTCTGAAGTACATTGGTGGGAGCAAACACTAACAGTTATCAAAGTATGAAAAGTACTCTGCCACGGTACACGAAAACTAAGTATGGTGTGGTCTGGGAGATATTTGAATGAGAAATATTTTCTTTCTCCTCTCGTTAAATTTTATCCATAGCACTTCTTGATTCACTGGAGAAATTGCTGACAGTGAGGTCAGAAACAGCTGAATGAAGAATGGAAGATCTGTTTTGTGGAGAATTTTGAGATTCAGCATTTTTCCAAATTGTGTCAAATACCCAAAACTAGTTTGTCCAAATTCCTTCTCTCCCAAATGTTTTAGGTTGATCACAACAGTTATGTTCTGAGCAATTTTCATATTTATATTAATTATAGTATAGTTACAGGGCTCTTTTCAAATACATTTCTAGTAAATTGATCAATCTGCCTCTAAGGAGCTAAACCACCTGCAGTGAGGGTCTCTGATTTGCAGCCCCACCATTGCCTGGCCGTGTTACTGTGATGGGTGCGAGTGTCATTTTCAAGCCTTTCTCCTTTAGAGACTTGTAACCAAGCTTAGCACAGATACGGAAACAATTTTTTTTCAATTTCAGAAAGGGTTATTTATTCACTCTCTGGAGATACAAACCAATCAGATGTGAGAGTTCAATAATAAAGGACTAAATCCACTCTTCAGTCCTACATCTTTGTCTTTCCTTGTGAATGTTGTGTAGGTTCCACTGACCTCTGGCTTCCCTATACCTAAAATACAGTTTGCAGCATTCTGTACCTCTCTTTGCCACAGAGTTTTCTAACTGGAGTGCAAAACACTGCAGCTCTTTTGGGTCCTACACTTGGACGGGAGGTGAATGTACCTGGTCAGTGTTGTTGGAGTCAGGTTTTCATAGAGTTATTTCACAAATGAAACATTCTTCACTATTTCTTGCTAGTACTTGATGTTTTCTGATGATTTATCAAGATAATATGGAATTTTAATCCTATCCTCCAGAGTGCTTTAAATCACTTGCAGCCTGATACTAAGTTCACTTTCATGAATGTGCTCTCTATTTCTTCATCCAGATCATTAATGGAAATATTGTCAGACCTCTCCATGATTCCATTTCAGATCTGACAAGCAGCCCTTGAAAGCTACTCAGTAAGTGTGTTTTTTCCCACCAGATTTTTATCTACCTTGCAGTGATTTCACCTAGAATGTAATTCTCTAATTTGTTTACTGGAGTATCATCTAGGACAGTAAACAAAGTCTTATTATAGCTGAAGTATTTTATATCTACTTCCTCCTCTTACCCACTAGGCAAGTTTCCCAGTTGAGAAAGCAATTAGACTGATTTGATGCGATTCATTCTTGATAAATTCATGTCGGCTGGTTCTTATCACCTTTCCTATCCATTAGATGCTGATAAATTGTTTATTTAACAATTTTGTCAAATATTCTTGCTGCTGTCAGATTTAGGCTTGCTCTTTAGTAGTTCCCCACGTCTTCCCTTTTTCTTTTCCGAAGACAGATACAGTGTTTGCCCTTTTCTGTCCTCTCCATTCCTGAAAGATAGTTGTTAATGGATTAGAGGTTTCTTCTGCTGGTTAGTTAAGTGCTCTAGAGTGAATTTCACAAGATTCTGCCAACTTGAATGTATCTAAATCATCAGAATATCTTTCAGCTTTCCGTCATCTGGCTTGCAGTTTTTCCTCTTAAAATCACTAGTGTTAAGCATCTGGCCACAATTAATGTTTTCGTAAAGACTGAAGCAGTGAAAGTATTGAACACTGGGATTTCTTTGTATCATCTGTTATTTGCTTTCCTTCTCTTTGACGTAATAGTTCTGTATTTTACTTTGTCCTCCTTTCCTAGCGTATTTATAGTATCTTTTCTTGTGGCTTTTTTTGTTCTTTGGTAGTTGTTACTCATTTTGCACTTTAGCCTTTTTGGTTGTATCATTTAAACGCTTGCATCAGATTAATCCTAAGCTGTATGTCCCTATTTCCAGTTTTTGTACTCCTGATTTTCAAATCATTTCAGGAAATAAATCTGTTCTGTGCTGTGATTTCTTACGTGTTAGGATGATAAAAAAATTCAAAATGAAAAATGTGAAAAGTTTGGAAAAAAAGAAAAGGTAAGATTTTGAAAATAAATGTGGTTTTATTGTTCTCCCAAAGGTAGAATACAGATTGCACATAGAAAATACCTTAGAGGGTTTCAATGAATAGACACGTGTAGAACATTAAAAGTATAAGGCACGTGAAACTTCTGTGCTGTACCCAAACAAGCATCCCATGTGGTGAATTTTACAAAAGCCCTGACAAGGTCCCATAGCTACCTTCTCCAGTGTTAATGCTTGTTTTGGGCAGGCTAGTCAGTGCTTTTGATTCTACAAGCACGTCCATAAAGTCTGAGTCTAATGCTACATTTGATACTAATCTTTTTTCAAAGCAGTATGCGACAGACACCGGGCTCAACAAATAGTTGAGTATGCAAATGATCACAGCATACTATCAATGGCTTTTTACAGCACCCTCTCATTTCATTCTTCAGTATTTTAACAGGGAAGAGTGCCATGTAAAACCAGATGTTTGAAGTTAAACGAATTTTCCATCAAGTCCTGGAATCCATTTCCATTTTTAAAGATAAGCTTTGGATCTTGTAGTGAGTTTCCAGGACTTCATTGCCTGCTATGCAGCTGACACAGCCTGTGAATTAAGCTCTAGTTTCTATTGCTTCATTCACTATGCAGTCTACATATCTGCTTTGAGACAAACGTGTGCACTTCACACAAAATTAAAACTGCCTGAAAGCTTTGGAAGGTGAGGCTCAGGCACTTGGATGTGTGGTCTCTCCTATGTTTAGTCCTCCTAGTGATTAAAACTGAACTTCCGTATATTTGGAGCCCTCCTCCCAAGCAACATCAAGACGATATGTGAGTAATTCTGTGCTGCAGTAGATCTCAGAAACCAGAAGTGACTTCAAGCTCAATGTTAAAAGTATCTTACGAGTTTTGAGGACTGGAGAAGGGTATTGCCATAATTATGGTCTAAGTGTGTTGGAGCTTGGTGATTTAAGTATAACATTTTCCAGAGGCCTACTCATGTGGGAAACCTGGGTTTCGTTTGCTTCTCCAATCAGCTGTTTGTCATTGAAGTGGATTTTGAACTATTAAGTCCACTATTTAGGGGAGATTTTGGTTTATGAAGCAACATACAGGAATATACTTGTGCATGTTTCATTTTCTTCGATTGCAAGGTCTCTCATCTTTATTGCCATCATCCTTCTCCCTCAGCTGATCATAAATAAGAAAAGTTCTATGCTGTTTCAGATGTATGCTTTTGTATTTAACCTTCTGACCTGTTTGTCTTTTAAAGAGAGTTAAAATCTCCTGTATAGCTAAGGAATATAAGCTATTCATTACTCATGAATATACCTGTCTTCACCCCCCATCTTCTGAGGATGGAAAAACAGATAACAAGAGATGGAAAACAGTGAATTATGAGTGTTTTGAGTGGGAAAAATGAGGACTAAATCAGCAAGAGCTTACTGCAAAGTAGATATGAGGTCTGCCTGCTTTGTGAACAACTTTACATCTTTTATATGAACAGTTAAGGATTAGAGTGCATATTGAAAATGTGTGTGTACTGGATGTTTCAATTTACACATGATAACATCATTTGATGACACTTAATGTGTTCTACTGTGAGATAGGTACTTTTCCATAATTACATATAGCCTTTCAACGGAGAGAACCAACGTTTTGTTAGTAATGTTTGAGCCCTTGTTAAGGTCAGGTGTATACTACAAATCAGAGGGGAAGAAACAAATGTATCATGCTTTGGATTCAATAGGCATTCTAAGGTCAGAAAATGGTAGTAAGTTAACATTAACCAAAGCTATTTGGGAACCAATCCAAGTCAGTTAGTTGGAGGGAATCCGAGAAATAATGGTATCTAGCTATAACCAATAGGAAAAAAGTACTCTTTTATTTCTTAATTTGGAAGGGGAGTAATCAATAAATAAATAATCAGTAAATAAGAAAGCCATCTGCAATCTAGTAGGAAATATTGCTGGAATAAAGAATCATAGAGGTTGGAAGGGATCTCTGGAGGTCATCTGGTCCAACCCCCCTGCTCAAGCATGGCCCTCTAGAGCCAGTTGTCCAGGACCATGTCCATGGCTCCTGAATATCTCCAAGAATGAAAGATCTCCGAGTCCCTCCAGAGTATCTCAGTTATTTCTCATAATGTTGGAATCAGTGATGTTGTTTATGCATAGCTTAAGAAAGACAAGCATGATCTTACCCCTTCAAGAAAAAGATAAAATAGTGAAACATAAAAG